GAACGCAAAACTGTCCTTTTATAAATATCAATGTTTGTCGTCATATCGAAATTGCTTTGTGAGTTTATGGGAACATGGAGGCATATTCCCTCCCCTTTACCATCAAAGTAGAATATCAAAAGTAGACCCAGCATTTAAATTGATTGCAATATTGAATAATTAACAATATAGGCCTAGGCCCAAAAACAGAAAATGTGTGTTTATTGGCCTACTGGCAATAATACATAACGGCTACCGTAATTTATTATTATTATCTTAATGAAAATTAATGGATTATAACCTCTCATTAAAATTAATTGGTTGCTTCGCTATAAATAGATCTAGAGTTCTACATTATTCTCACCTTTACCGAAAAGTGACGAATTATACCATTGTATCAATTTCTAGAACATGTTGTAATTTACATTTTCCGTTTATTGTATTAACAAAGGCCTAAAAAGAATTATGAATAATATCCGCCATAAAAGTGACGAATACAAACTACCGGTAAGATGTGTATAAGAGACAAGTGCATAACTATGAGCTACAGACAGTAGCTGGTCTGGTCGATAGAGTTCACGAACCTCTCGTGTCATCGTCATCAATTTTATTCAATATGTTCAAGCAGCAACTTCTCATTCAAGGTCGGAAGCCGGTAGATAAGCATCGCTGCATAGGAAGTCTAAACACTGAATAAGACAGACGTTCCAGCAATGTTTGGAGATTAAACATTAACAACTGATATCACAACCTAATGTATGTATGTCTTATACTCTATACTTTTTATAATTTGTATTTTTATACAAATGACGCTAGCTTTATCTTGAGCGTGCCGTGACACGCTAACGTTTTAGTGGGAGGCTTAGATTCATCATAGCGGCGTATACTACATTATACAGTGTAATTCTCTGCCAACGTTTAGATTTTCGTATTAAATATTCCGATTCAGTAATGAGCTATTCGTATCGGAGACATTGTAATATTAATGATGTCTTTTTATATCTGGAATTATCCTGATGCAGTTGAATATACATCGATTGTAAATCAATGACGACTACACTCGTTCTCATTCTTTGTTTCATGCGTGTCAAGATTAATTAAATTAATCAATTTAAAGATGCACCATCTATCATGAGCTAAAAACGTTGAAAAACTCAATTCCATATTTGAATTGCTTAATTTGTATATTCAGGGAACAGTTGGTATATTTAAGTAAGTTATTAACTTACAATTGAAAATAATATGAGAAAATATCCATGTCAATTAACGGACGGTTAAACACAACTACATTTCCAGTATTTTAACAAATGAACCATTTTAATTTAACAATTTGCTGGAAATATATGATTTTTGTAGAAAAGTGTAAGTCATTGAAAAATATATGATTTTTCAGTCGGTTTCTGGCTATTAGTGAATAGTTTTAATTGAATTTTTTAGGTATTTTCGGATTTTGTTTTGGCGCACAGTTTATCTTTACATTAATTTAGAAACCGCTGGATGAAGGTTTAATAATCGCGTTTGTCCTTCCGGTGGTTTCCTGCCTGGATATGATATAATAACAGCATACCGGACATGTACATCCTTCGTTACGGATTCATTGGGAAAAGTCCTTATAATCGTCAACGAATAGACCTTTCCAGGGTGTAAATCAAACTTAGCAACTGACCAATCAGAACAATGCTAGGAATACGCCCGCGTCTCACAACATCCGGACAATGTAGTTCCTTACCGATTCTTTGTTGGAGCATGTGTGGGAGAAGTCCTCGAACAGTTTAACGAATTGGTGTATCGCAGAGAGTCATATTCACGTCGCCACACAGTAAGCAATTCGACGAGGTCAACCTAATAATATTAGGTGAGTTTATGAGAGGGGGAGGGGGTGTGGTGTAGGACCAGCTCACCATCACATTAAGAAGCCATTTTTTATATCACTTTAAACTTTAGAAAAATATAAAAATCACTAAAAATGGGCCTACATCAAAATTTCAAATGATTCATCATTTCTGCTCTCGCCTGAGGAACCGAAACCAAGCAGTTTTACGTACCCAACGAAAAGAAAATAAAGTGGTAAAACACAATGGTATATTGTATTGATCACGACAAATACATCTTATTCAGGTTGAGGCATCAACCACGGTGTAAATGCAATATGTAACTTATTCAATCGTTTAAGTACCGTACCTTACAAAATTGATTATACCATATGTTATTAGTCTAAGTCAGTTTCTATCTTATTCAAAATAGATTGAAACTGTGAGTAATCTGTTCTTCGTCATTCTCTGAATATACCAGTGGCGTATCTACGGGGTGGTGGGGGCGGGGGTGCATTCCCCAGTCCCCCCCCCCACCGGTGCCCTGCCCGCGATTTTTTTTCCGTACGAAACATTTACATGAAACTCCACTCGGGCCGTCTCGACTGAATCGACCAGGGCCGAAAATCTCATATTGCAGAATTCAGGAGGTCAAAAGGTCATCAACAGATAAACGTCTAATAAATGCAAAACAACTTCTGAGAGAACGTTGCTGTCTGATAAAAAATACATTGATGTTACTACCATCAAAAATATAACTACTGTACATAAATTTCAAATTGTGCAAAGAAATCCTTGCACAGTTTGCAAATTGTGCGAGGAAGAGTGTGCACAATTTGTAAATTGTGAAAAAAGTCTAAAATTGTGCACGGCAGCTATTTAAGTTCTTTGATAACATTAAAATATAAGAACGCAAAACTGTCCTTTTATAAATATCAATGTTTGTCGTCATATCGAAATTGCTTTGTGAGTTTATGGGAACATGGAGGCATATTCCCTCCCCTTTACCATCAAAGTAGAATATCAAAAGTAGACCCAGCATTTAAATTGATTGCAATATTGAATAATTAACAATATAGGCCTAGGCCCAAAAACAGAAAATGTGTGTTTATTGGCCTACTGGCAATAATACATAACGGCTACCGTAATTTATTATTATTATCTTAATGAAAATTAATGGATTATAACCTCTCATTAAAATTAATTGGTTGCTTCGCTATAAATAGATCTAGAGTTCTACATTATTCTCACCTTTACCGAAAAGTGACGAATTATACCATTGTATCAATTTCTAGAACATGTTGTAATTTACATTTTCCGTTTATTGTATTAACAAAGGCCTAAAAAGAATTATGAATAATATCCGCCATAAAAGTGACGAATACAAACTACCGGTACCATTGTATTAATTTAGAACATGTCTCACAAACACACGTGTTGCAAATGCACGTAATTTGCGTGTTTTTTTTTATGCCGTCGTTTTATGGGATCGACGATATTGTAGTAACAAGGGGCAGGGCGCGACTTTTTTTTTCCGTACGAAACATTTGCATGAAACTTCACTCGGGCCATCTCGGATTGACTCGAGTAAGTACGATACGAGGAACAAGAGCAGACACTTCGCAATGTCGTGATGCTCGAGTTTTACTATTATTGCTCTTTCTACGGTAGGCCTATGAAATTTCACGGACTTATGTGATGTACGTCACTGTGTAACTAACTGTGACCTTCTTGGATGTTATTAAATGTTAGTATATTATCTACAACAACAACAGCTAGTACCTCCTGTTGTTATACAGTGTAGAGGTACAGTTATACCAAAGGCTAGAGAGAAAG